AGTCCCATAGAAAGTGTGCATGGAGGGCTGCGGATTTAGCTCAGCAGCATAAATGCCTGTTTCGCAAGTATGTAGTTGTGAGATCAATCCCTGGTACCAAAAAGAAAAAAAAAGAAAGAAAGTGTGCATGGAAAGAAGGAGGACCTTTCCTAGAAGGGATAAGTCAGGAGGTCACAGACTCCTACGAAAGTGGAAGATGCCTCTATAGAACACCGATCATTATTATTTACCCCTCAGGGAAATACATGGATGGAGTCACTCCATCTTTATTTTGAGGCCTAAAAGTATTTTTTGCATTTTAATTGACTGGAAAAATATCAATAACTTCATAACACTTGGAAATTATATGAAACTCATACAATTCATTTCCTTAAATGAGGTTTTATTGGAGCACAGCTAAGCTTATTGTGTATGGATGCTTTCCTTGTAGAATAGTCAATTTGTATAGTTGAATGGAGGGAAACCATATGAACCAAAAAACAAAGAAAGAGAGGAAGCTAATTCAAAAACTTTTAAAACTTTATTCTCTTAGTTTGAGGCTGCCTGACCTATATAGCAAAACCATTTCACACTACCTCACCCTGCAATTATCTTGCTCTTTACAAAAAGTTTGCCAATGAGTGATTTACCGTTTATATTTTAAAACTTCACAGGAGTGGACTCAGGGCACACCCATGTAATCCCACGATTCAGGAGGCAGAGGCAGGAGGACTGCAAGTTTGAGTTTAGTGTAGGCAATTTAGTAAGTGACTTAGCAAAACTGTCTCAAAATTTGAATAGGGCTGGGAGTCGAGCATGGTGGTACATTCCTGTAATCCCAGCATTTGGGAAGCTGAGGCCAGCCTGAGCTACATAGTGAGCTCAAGGAGACCCTGAAATAAATATATACATTTCAATTCCCACTACAAAAAAAAAAAGGCTTCCTGGGACACATACTGTCAACATCATACAGATGAGAAAAGTGTTGCTGAGATAAAACTGTCAATTTCACAAAACATTCTGGAATCAAATCCAAAACTGGAATTCCTTTCACTGCACAACACCCCTCCTCCTGCCTGTGAAGAGCATTGTTCTTTTTTCTTTAAATTTATTTATTTATTTATTTAGAGACAGGTTCTCATGCAGTCCAGGCTGGCCTTGAACTGAAGGTAATCCTCCTGTCTCCGCCTCCCAAAGGCTACAACTACAGGCATGCACTCACACCCAACAACTACGTTCTGAAGTATAACCAACATCTTTTGATGTCCATCTTTGGCCCATATTTTCTTCCTTGAAGCCAGCCATACTGGTACTGGGAATCGAGCCCAGTCTTCTCACTGGACTGCATCAGTCATGCTTTGGGTTTTGTCTCATTTTGTTTTTGTTTTTCTGAGATGGGATCTCACTAAGTTGCTATATTACCCAGGCTGGACTCATTCTTTGTATCCTTTTACCTTAGCCTTCTAGACAGCTGGGATTACAGGTATTTGGCACTACATTGAGCTTTTTTGTGTTTTTATTTTGGGGTTATTTTGTTTGGTTTGTTTTTATTTTTTCTCTTTGAGGCAGAAGTCTCATTAAGTAGCCCAGGCTCGACTTGAACTCATTATGTAGTCTAAATTTGCTTTGAGCTCACCAAGATCCTCCTTCCTCAGCCTCCTGAGTGCTGGGATTACAGGCAAGCACCACCACACTCCGTTTTAACACTGATTTTTATTTAGAAGTTTATGTACAGTTGTAGGTCTCTTCCCTTCCAGATCATTTCTTCTGAACGTGTACAACCCTCTTCACATTTGACACTGCATCTGGTCTCCAGGCCCCTGAATATTCTACAGCTTTCCTACTTTGTGCCAAAATCGATTTTTTTGAAGGCAGAATTTTGTACTTAGTACTGTGGAGATTCTCTTGGTAAGAGGGAGTTTATCATGGACGCCAAGACAGCCCGAAGTTGCCCCTAACTGCTTGCCATTCATACCTGTTAACCTCATTCATCTGTCAAAAATGCCCCGAGGTTTGCCCTTAGCTCCACAAGGTGGCACTCGAGCCTGTCCCCATGCTGGGATCAAACCCAGGGCCTCCCACAAGGGTAGGCAAGGACCCTACCACGGAGCTACATCCCAAACCCAGGCCTTCCGTTTTATCAAGACCCTCAAATTTTAATAGTTTCCATGATCTAAGGATCCTTCTAGGGGCAGCAGACTGAAGATTTTGTACATTTCAGAGAAACCCAAGCAGGCATCGTTACTCTTATAACCTGTAACACCCACACAGCCACCTCTGTACAGTGTCCAGCCTCTCCTCCCCCATCCCTTTCTACCCAGGGCCAGAGGGCAGGACACAGGGCACCCCATCTTCCTTCCCCAGCCATCCCAACCCCACTGGCACCACTAGCAAGTTCCATAGCAGGTCAGTACCCTCTTCCCCACCTGTGAAATGGGCGCAGTCATAGTAGCTATTAAATAAGCTCACACTTAACAGAAGCTTCCACTGCACAACAGATTTTTAGGGCTAGAGCCAGGCGTGGTGATCCCAGCACTTTGGGAGGCTGAGCAGAAGGATCACAGTTCAAGCCTAGCCTGAGCAATTTAGGAATTTAGTGAGATCCTATCTCTAATAGGGTTGGGGCTGTAACTCAGTGTAAAGGCCCTGGGTTGAATCCCTACTACTCAGGGATGATCTTGAGAATTAAAACTTTTTTTCAGAGTAAATTGTATTTTTTGTCCTCTTGTTACACTGTCTCCATTGCCTTGGACCAATCTGACCCTCACTCAGACGTATACCAAGTCCATTTTCCTCCACCATCCCTTGCTTTGGCCTTAACTACTAGATCTTGAAGAGTTGCACAACTACACTGTTTAAAGGGACTTCTGTGCATCTAAAGAACAGAGGTGCTGTTAACCTTTCCTCCCTCTTTTTAGGAATCCAACCTAAGGTCTCACGCTTGCTAGAAAGTGCCCTAATCATGGCACAATACACATCAAATCATCACCTCATACAACCTGAAGGGAGAAAAAAACAGAACACATCCTCACCAGTCAATTGCCTAGACAGAATGGCTTCATATTCCAGAGGAAACAGGAAAATCTATAGAACTGCCCTTCACCGAAATCTGCCTTTAGTGTGGGAAATGACAACTTCTCGGTCATTTTTCTTCAAGCACAGGTATATGGGAAAGCTAAGCTACAGGGTAACTATCACCAGGCCTGGGGGCTCACACTGTAACCCCAGCTATTTCCAAGACTGAGGCAGAAGAATCAGGGATTCAAGGCCAGCCTGGGTTACTTAGTGAGACCCAGCCTCACAATTTAAATAAGACCTAGGGATGTAGTTCAGTGGTAAAATGCTCCTGGGTTTAAGGATTAGTCCCCCCACACACACACATACACACACAGAATCGATCACTAATCTGAAATAACTTTTTCTTGAGTCGAGTCTACGTAGTCTAGACTGGCCTCAAACTCACAGCAATCTTGCCTGAGCCTCTCAAGCAGAATTGAAGGACTGCAGTCAGGCCTGGCCTGCAATCTTTCTTGTTCTCACCGTATAGTCCAGGCCTCAAACTTGATACTCCTGCCTCAGCCTCCTGAGTGCTGGGATTACAGGGTCAGGAAGACTTTGAAAGTTACCCTGGGAGTCCAAATTTTCTTCAAGCAGAACTTCAGAATTTTAAAAAACAGTGAAAAATAAACATTACAAATGTTTTGATGGTTCAACTCCAGAGCTGATGATGTGCTCACAAGCCACCAGGTGAGAGCTCATCACCTCAAAAGCAGAGCAACAATCACCCACCACTGCTTCACTCTTCCCCAGTCCCCTCCCACCCTGCTGTTCAACCTCTTCATAGAACTAGAACATACTTTAAAACCTTCATTCTCACTGAACCGTTCCATAATCTCTTATCATTTAATACTATCTTATTTCCCCTGGAGAAACTTTTACTAATACATGACCAAACTTTACCAGATAGCTCGGGTTTTGAGATCCTTGACTAAAAACTTAAAACTGGCTATGGTGGTACATGCCTATATGACTGTCTATTGAGGCTGTGGCAAGATCAAAAGTTCAAGGTCAGTTTAGGCAATTTAAGGAGACCCTGTCTCTTGGGGGGGGGGGAGCATAGCTCCATGATAAAACCTTTGTAAGCCTTAGCCCATTTTTTAAGCTCCAGTTCTGGGCGACAGTAGGGATGCAGGAGACCTCAGTTCTTAGGGGTTTCTGTCCTCCAAATAAGCAAAAGCAAACCAGAGGACTCTATTTGTCCTTTTAATAGAGTACAAGTTGGGGTAGATGGGGAACTGAAATTTAAAGGCAGAAAAGTTCAAATTAGCTGGACATGATGATACAGGACTCTGATCTCTGCTACTCAGGTCGAGGCAGCTTACAGGCCCTGTCTCAAAAATTTTAAATGGTAGGAAAGGGAAGCTGGGGTGTCTCAATGGTAGAGGATTTGCTTACCTTGCATGGTTCAATCCCCAGCATTACAAAGAATATGTTCAAATGGGGAGCTGGGGATTTAGCTCAGCGGCATAAGCGCCTGCCTTGAAAGCAGGCAGTTGTGAGTTCAATCCCTGGTACCAATAAAAAGGAAAAAGACAAAAAAAAAAAAAAAAAACTGTGTAATAAGAATATGTTCAAATGGGAAGAGGAAATTCTTATTCCTGCTCTATCTCAGGATATCTTCTGAACTTCAGTACCGAAATGGCTTTCCAAATGAGAAATCACCCTTGCAGGCAATTTTTCCTCTAGCCTTGGAGGAGCCCATTAATGCACAGGGCTGGGCAGGAAAGCAGGCACTTCCTGCTTTCACCTGGCGGCGGCTGGGGCTTCTCCCCAGCACCCTCTCCCAGCAGAGGAAGGCGGGCACACACTGGAGGCTCTGGAACAACAACTCCTGAATTCCAGAAATGAAAGAGTTGCACAGGGCCTTGGGGCCTGGCCCCAGGTGGCCAGGAAGCAGGGCTTTGAGGCATTTTCCTGTTTGTGCAGTGATGTTATTTCCCCATTCCCCACAGAAAGAAGCATTGACAAACCAAGTTTTTATTTCCAGCAACATCCAGCTAATTTAAACACAGAAACTCCATCTTGCCAAACAGCTAATAAGCTCTTCCACACACCATTCAGTCAGCACACAGCGAAGACCACACACACATTCTCACTCTCTCTCATTCTCTCCCTGTCTCAGCAGAGTCACAACTAACACACACAACCCTCCAGGCATCTTCTAGGGATCTGTCCAGTTGTTCCCACATTGTTCCTTTGAATCAGTGGTTTTAAGTGTTTCTTGCTCTGTGTCCCTGAAAGTTTACTCCGCTTCCCTATTTTCTTATAGATACAGGAAGACAGGGCAGGAGGGTCCTAGTGACACTTTTCATGGGAACACAGGCAAATGGGCTCCAAAGACAGTGTCATGACCAAACCACCATTTCAGCTGCTGCGCTCTGCAGTCCCCAGTCTGGAAGCTGCACCAGTCCCCACCTGGGGAGCAGAGAGCCCGGGAGTCAGGCTCAAGATTCTTATCTGAGGCCACAGCAGGCCAGGTAGTGGTTTCAGATTCCTGGGAGCCCCACCACTTCTGCTGTCTTCGTAGAGGGGACGTCAGCAGGCACCCAGACTCCTGCGGACTCTCCCCACAGGGTAAGGGAAGGGGAACCACTCAGCAGCGGTAGAAAGGGTGGGAAGGTGGTAAAGAGGAAGGTGTACAAAGCTGACGTTCTTAAAATTACATCCTAAGATAAAAGTGGGAGGATCCTGTGGGTCTAGAAAACAAGGCATCCTGTGAATCTACAGACATCAGGGCCAGAGTCTGGTCACTCTGGAGTAACACCAGCATCAGAAACAGAAAATGAGCCACCCAGGTCACACCAGGAACGAGGAGGTCTGTTTGAATTCCCCCTAAGGAAACAAAAACTCCAGTTAGCTCTAGAGTCTTCTTTGGCTAAATTTAGGAACACAGAGAGGAGGGCTAGAAAGCCCCCCACTCCAGCTGAGAGGGCCTCTCCCCAGGCAGGCACACTCACTTCACTGCGGGCAGCGGGCTGGCTGTAGATCACCTTCTTACTTGACGAGGTCCTGTGAACAAGGTCAGAACACAGAGGTGCTCAGCCCTACACCCTCCTTACACTGCACCGATCTTAGAGGCCAAACTAAAAAGTGCAGAAGGGAGACCTCGTAGAAAAGCACAGGCGGAGGGAAAGAGAGGAAGTCTGGGGCAAAGTCTGGGACAAAGAGGGCAGAAGGTGCTGCTCCTCCAAGCTGGTGGCTTCCCCCTCCATACTGCACTCCCATCCCCATCCCCAGGGCCCAGCTCAGCTCCAGGACACAGCAGGCATCCATGTTCTCAACTTCCGAGAACCCAGGGGCAGTATTTCACTCACTTTGTCTTTGCTCCTGAAAGAGAAAAAAGGAGGCTGTGAGTACCCACAGCAGAGCCCAGGCTGCCAGCAGGGTGGGGAAGCACTGGCAGCATTGGATAGGGGCTGGGGCCAGCCATCTGTCCTCTCAGGGTAGCACCGTACTGGGGTCTGTACTCAGGTGGCACCCACAAACCTTGCCTGGACAGGGGAATGGTAGACATAAAGGAGGGCAATTACTTACGCTCAAAGTAGCCTCGGCTATAGGCATACCAGATGCCGATAATCAAGAGTGCAAGGAGAATCAACGTTACGAGGACAGCTGCCACGATGCCTCCCACATTTGGCTCCACTGTGAGACACAAAACAGAGGTTAGGCGCCTGCGTGCTGAGTTGTGGTGCTGATGGTGCCACCGCTGGCAGAATGAGAAGCAGACCCTGGTCCCACCCAGCTCTGAACCCAGGCCCCCATCCTGGTCCCACGCACCAGCATCCATGTGGACACTGTCTGATCTCATGGGATTCCCAAAACCATTCTGCGCCTGACAAGTGTACTCTCCAGTATCTGCGGTTGTCAGAGGACTGAAGATCTGCAGAGAAGAGAAAGTTGGCTTGAAAAGAAAAAAATCTAAGCCTCATGTCTCCTGACACTAGCTCCAAGCTCAGCTTGTTGCTTGTTCTCCCTCCCTGACTTTAGCGGTCCTGTAACTGTGCCCCACAGCCCTCCTCCCTGGATCTACAGCCCCCTCCCGCCCATACCAGCTCCCCTGTCTTGTGATCCAGTGTATAGGAAGAATTGCTGAAGGCACGGTTATTCTTGGGATCATCGGGCATCAGGACCCCATCCTTGAACCAGGAGTATTCAGAGGGTGGGGAACCATCCTGTTCAGAGCAGGTCAGCACCGTCCGAGTACCAATCGTGGCAGAGGAGGGGATGTTGACTGTGGGCTTGGATGGCGGCACTGGAGATGGGACAGGAAGAAAACTGCTGAAGCAAGGATGGGGGCCTCATCCAATGAGCTCCAGCCACCCTCTCTTATGCCATTAACTTCCTTCTAGCGGCGCCATAATTCTGAATGCCCCCATCAGTAAACACTGTCACCATCAACGAATTCCAAAGCTTAGCAATCCGCTTAGGCTTTAGGGAAGTGGCCAGCTCCGGGCCCACAGGGAAGATATGTGATGTGCTGCATACCAAGCACGGTGAGCTGGACTTGGACCTCCCCATAGTTGTTGCCATTGTCCTCAGAGACCATACACGTGTAAGTCCCAGTGTCCTCCCGGGTCACTGTACTGAAGGTGATGCCGCTGGGTGAAAAGGTAACTCGGTCCGCATAGGAAGCTACCAGAGAAGGAGGCAGAGATTGGGTGAACTGGACAGCTGAGAGAAGCTGGTGAAGGGGGCACCTGCCCTTCTTCCTCCCCAGGCTACACCTTGCCCCTGGCATCCAGGGTCAACTCCTCCACACATCTGGGCAATGGAGAGAAGGTGAGGCAACTCACCAGTGATCTTGTTATTATAGCAAACAAGCCTGGTAGTGTCACCATGGACGAACTTCCACTCCACACGGGGGGAGGTGAAGCCGGAGTAGGTGCAGCTCAACGTGACTTCTGTAGACAGGAGGGAGGAAGAGGAGGAGCAGGGAGAAGGTGGGAACAGCCCTAAACCACCCTCACATCCGCCCTGCCCACACTCCACGGCCCCGCCCCACTCACGCTTATTCTCAGGAACTTGGACTTCAGAACTGGAGGTGTACACTGTACCCTTGCCCAGCACCAGGAAGACTGAGGAGGATACAGATAGGCCCGGTCAGAAGGGAAAGGCCAGCGAAAAGGGCAGTGCTAGCTCCTCCCACCTCAGTTCTGAGGCCTCCTGCCAGTATCCAAATAATCCTTTTTAAAATGTGCTTTGCAGCCTGGCATGGTGGCACATGCCTATAATCTCTAAATCTGGGACATTGAGGCAAAAGTATCTCCATGAACTCCAGGCAAGCCTGGGCCACATAATGAGTTCAACATCTTGACTCCAAAAAAAAAAAAAATCAAATACTGATCAATAATTCAATTAATGTGTTTTGCTATATCTACAGGCCAATGCTTCTTCTAGCGATGGAAATGAAATACTTCCTTCAAAAGCAATTTCTTTCCTTTTTAATGGTTCCCTCTGTGACTCCCAATAATCTAATTAAATTCTTGCTAGTCCAAGGGCAGCTTCTTCCAAATGACATTTCACAGTTCAGAGAAAGCTTCTTAACAAAGGACTGCAGCCACTCAACAAGACAATTCTGGAAGGAAGCCATCACCCCAGAGGCCCAGGAGGGAGGGAGTAGGGGAACAGTAATGAGGATAATAATAATACTTGACATTAGTAGAGCATTTGATGCTTTTTAAGGCGTTTTCAGACACACTGCCATCGTTTGATCCTTGAAGGAAGCATGACATATCAGCAGGCCAAATACTATTACCCGATTTTACATGAGGAACTGAGACTCCATAGAGTGAGGAACATGCCTGAGAGCACAAGCTACTGGGTCTGAGACGAGGTCAGTACTAGCATCTGGCTAAGATCGCCTCATTAGAGGCCCTGAAACTGGGCAAGATGCACACACCTGTAATCCTAGCACTCTGGGAGGCTGAGGCAGGAGACTCCAAAATTTGAGCCCAGCCTGGACAATTTAGCAAAGCCCTGTCCTGAAATAAAAAATAATAAAAAGGAACGTGCCACAGTAAGGGTGAAGGAAGTGAGAATCAAGGGATTTGATTAAATAAAGGGGAAGGGAGGAATTGGAATTCCCAGGCGGGCGCAAACCTGCCAAATTAAACTAGGCACAGGATCCCGGGATCTTCGACAGGGCTATGAACCTGCACTTACACCATCAGCCTCACTCAAGTTTCAAAGCACAGACACAGGAAGACTTTATTTATAGCTTGAAGTCACACCCTGGTCTTCTTAGATAAATGCATAAAGAACTACAATGCAAGCACATCTGTCAAATTCAAGAATGTTTTCTTTTATTGAAGTATCCACACCATTCAACATGGTCTCTCTTTTCTTTTCTTTTCTTTCTTTTTTTTTTTTTTTTTTTTTTTTTTGTCTTTTTCATTTTTATCAGTACCAGGGATCAAACTCACGACTGCCTGCTTGCAAGGCAGGCGCTTATGCCGCTGAGCTAAATAAATCCCCAGCCCCCTCAACATGGTCTCTTGACAACTGAGGTTCTCCTTCCTTACTTGAAATATGAGGGGTTTGAACTGGATGTCTCCAAATTCTTTTGGGTCATCCCTCCCACCAAATCCCCTGCTCTGGCATCAATGTTTAGAAGTTTGGTTTTTTGGGTGGAGGGTGTTTCTTGAGAACTGTGTGGTTCAGGCTAGCCTTATACTCTTCGTCTCAGCCTCCCAAATCCTGGGATTACAGGTATGCACCACCATGGCCAGATAGAGTGTTTAGATACATTTATTTCAACCTGATACATCATCACTGGGAATTAGTACAGATAATATTCTCCCCCAGTAAGTGTCTCAAAGGTTAAGTGGCTGACCCAGAGTTTCATGGCAAGAAAATGGCAAAGCTAAAACAGTGTAGGGGCTGGGGATTTAGCTCAGCGGCGTAAGCACCTGCCTTGCAAGCAGGCGGTCGTGAGTTCGATCCCCGGTACCGATAAAAAATGAAAAAGACAAAAAAATAAATAAATAAAAATAAAAATAAAAAAATAAAACAGTGTACAAGTTCCTCTCAAAACCCTCCATCCTTCCTCTTTCCTTCCTTTTTTTAAAACCAGGATCTTACTATGTAGTCTTGATGAGTCTCAACCTCACTATATATATAACCCAGGCTGGCTTTGGACTCACAGTTCTCCTACATCAGACAGTGCTGGGATAACAGGCCCTTTAGAATGAATTACATCCTCAGCCCTTTGTTTACTTGGAGGGTCTAAGTTGCTAAATTCCCCATGCTGAACTCAAATTTGTGCAATCCATCTGCCTTAGCCTGCCAGCTTTTTTTCCTATACCTTCTGTTATTGGTACAATAAACCATGCTGTTTCTGAAAGGGCCCCTGGCTTAATGAAGGTAAACTATGTAACAAAATGTATTCTTTCAATTTTTGCTTTCAGACAGCATCTCCCTATGTAGCCCAAGTCAGTCTTGAACTCAGGAATCCTCCTGCCTCAATCTTCCAACTGCTGGGATTACAAGCATGTGCCACCGTGACCAGCTCATAAAATGCTGTTCTTTTAAAAAGCAAGTTGATTTTAATCTATGAATTTGTTGTTGTTGTTGTTGTTTTGGTACTGGGGATCAAACTTATGACCTCGTGCTTGCCAGGCAGGCACTTCTGCCACTGAACTAAATCCCTGGCCCTATGAATTTGTTTTTAATATTACTTTGTACCTGCTACTTTGTATATTTCTCACTACCTTTTTAATGCCAGTAATTCTGAACTCAGATAATAACAAATGCAGAAAGTAAACCACATGGCCCTTAGTTTATTGGAAACAACTCCTAAGGGTGTGGAGCGCTCTTACTCAGCCTTTACTGAGAATGCTAATACAAATGCCTGGACTTGCATGTCTGCCTTCCCTGTTTTGCTGACGGGAGCCTTGTTTTTCCAAGCTTTTTAAAGTGAACACTTGGCTTCTGCAATGTGAAGTGTGCTGGGAATCAAGGACTCAGTGTCGCATTGTGGGCTCCAGGCTGCAGTCATCTGCGAGGTTGCCGGATCCTAGCGTCTGACTAGTGACAGGAGGTGGAACTGTCAGTCCCAGTTCTATGGCCCAGCTTTCCTGCCCCGGGAGCTGTGGCCCACAGCCCCACAATGCCGAGCCTCACTGAGATTACAGTGTAACTCTCCCTCAGCCACTCTTACTTCTATCCTCTCCCTCACCGTGGGTCCTAGGAGTTCTCCCTAATAAACATCTTCTATGATAATTGGTATCTCAGAGGCAGCTCCTCAAGATCCCAACCTGACACCACCCAAATAATGAACAGCGTGTAATTAAACTAAAAACCAGCTTTTGAGACACACCCCCCACCACAGTCTAGGAAGCTGCTGGTTCTAATTCACTTCTGAGTTCTTTGTAGAGTTCTGAAATAGAAGAAATAGATAGGCTTAAAAAAAAATAGATAAGGAAAAAAATCACAATTTAAAAATTGTACTTTTAAGAAGACTACAACTTCTGCCAGGTGTGGTGGCACACACATGTAATGCCAGCACTTGGGAGGCTGAGGCAGGAAGCTTGCTGGGAGTTTGAGGCCAAGCTGAACTACATGCAACCCTGTCTCCAGACTGACTATAACATCAGGAGACACAGAGTGGTATCCAAGGCTATCCATATCTGTTCTCCCTAGGCTGGTTTATTCTTTTCATCCAGCCCTATCACACCCAAAATCCATTAAAAGACATTGTAAATCCACAAAGGACACAAATGAGTATTATATACAGAAGTAGATCCAAAAGTTTTAAAGACTATTTTTGGAAAATAAATCATACACCTTTGAAAAACAAGTGGAGTGTGGAGCCTGCCTTCCTCCAGAAAACCCTTCAATCCTTTCACCCGGAAAATAAGCCATTATCCTACTTCCTGGAGCCAACCACACCCAAACCTGCCATAGAGTGCACAGAAACACATACATATTCTCAGCTCTCTAGAGGGCCTACACTTTTTTTTTGTTTTGTTTTGTTTTTTTGTCTTTTTCCTTTTTATCGGTACCGGGGATCAAACTCATGATTGCCTGCTTGCAAGGCAGGCGCTTATGCCGCTGAGCTAAATCTCCAGCCCTAGAAGGCCTACACTTTAAGTCTTTAAATTCCACCTAAGAAACTTCTTTATGTGTTCTACCTACAACCCACTTGTGGGGCCTCTTTGGGCCCTGTCCAGTGACATGCTGAAACATCAGACCTCAAACGCACTTGGGAATCACACACAGACAAGCACGACATGCCAGGTCTCAGGCATGCACCCCTCTCCTCACTAATCCTGATGGTGAGCCTTTTTTTTTTTTCCTTTTTGAAACAGGATCCCGCTGTATAGCCCAGGTTGGCCTCCAACTTGCAGCAGTTCTCCTGCCTCAGCCTCCTGAGTTCTGGGACTACAGGCTTAAGCCACCATGCCCAGCTCATACCATGGGCTTCTTGTTACTAACAGAGACCTTCACCTCCAGGCCCAAAGGTGCCCATCTGCTGTGGCCTAATGGGGCCACTGCCTATCACTGACAGGTCAAATCCAGCCCATGTACCTGCCCTGCTCTCATCACAGCACACCTCAGACATACTGGTCCACATTTATTCCCCTTCCAATTCCCGAATGAGCCTCTGTCTTACTTGACCATGTGACCCAGGCAGGCCACTTAACCATCTTGGACTTCAGTTTGCCTGTCTGTAAAATGGGGATAATAACAGTTTCTACATCAAAGCCCTATAGTGAGGGTTAAACAAGCTAACACAAATAAAGTGCTAAGGACAGTGCGTGACTGTGACCAACAGGAAGTACCAGGTAAGTACTGCACCCCATTACTACCAGTCACCCACAGGCTGTTCTATGTATACTTCTCTTTTGGACTTCAAAGTTTTCTTAACAAGACGTATGTATAAATAAATAATGAATACTGTCTGCAAAGTGCTGGGACTCCAGCCCCACAAGCCCTCTCCATCTGTCACTGTGGCCACGTCGATGAGGCTCACACTCCTGGTTCCTTCACAGGTGGACAGCAGAGCCCAGAGCTCCCCCTCACAGGGCCACATCTACAGGAGGACAGCAAGTTCCCTGCCCGCCTCCTCATCTGTTCTACATCCTCCCTGGAACCAGCACCGCTCCCCTTTTGCAGTTAACCCTGGGACTATATTTGCCTTACAGTGCACACACGTACAAATGACGGGGTGCACATGGTTAACCAAAATGCAAGGGCACTGGAGGCTTTCTATTATAAAGTTTAATGTGTAGTCACAATGAGTAGAGCTACAAAGTTAAAAGCATCAGTAGATTTTTGGCTTGCTTGGCCATTTCCATGTACAGGAAATCCAACCTCCACTCCATGGCCAAATGGAAAGCTAAGGGTTGGTGGGCACTTCCTGAATGCTGGGCATGGTTGTGAGGCTATGATATGGGCCATCCTTTAATCCCTGTCCAACTTCAGAGGTGGATGACAGTATTACTATTTTCTACATAAGAATAAATAACAGGTTCTTTGCTATATTCTATAAGAAAACCGACGCTTAGAGCAGTTAAGAAAATTGTTGAATGCTCAATAGTGAGTAATGGTGCAAACCTGAACAAATATGGTCCAATCGAGAGCCTGTGGTACTGTGTACTATAAAGCCTTCCTATAAAGGCAGATCCATAAAAAGCTTCAGGTGGGGCTGGAGGGGAGGCGTTGCTATTATAGCCCAAGAACTCACAATCCCCCTGCTTTGGCTTCCCAAGGGCTGGGATTGCTAGCCCGTGCCACCACACCTGGCTGGGCTTCAAAGGTTTGATGATTCTGCATTGCCTATAAGATAAAATCCAGATTTACCAGCAAGCTACAAAGTTTCAACACTACAGGGCTTCCTGATACACTTATCTTTTCTCACCTACTCTCCTACAGCAGTTTACCCTCCCGCAGCATCCAACCACTTACACTTCACAGCAGAGACCCAGTTGCCTCACTATCTCTGCCTCTGCTCAGCTATTTCTGCTATGTGGAACATCCTCTTCCCTCTTTATCTGACTGACACCTGTTCCTCTACATTCTTTTCCAGGAAAAGACCTACCACACCCAACCTCACCTCAGCCAGCTTAAAGCCTCTTCCTAGGCTTTCATTATCGCCTGCAAAACACTGTCCAAGTGCAAGCCCTGCACACACCTTGTCTGTGACCTTATGTGACATAAACCCCCAGGAAGCACAGAGCATGTTACTTATTATTCTGAGTCCTCAACCCTTAGCCTAACACCTGGTACAAGCTGACATTCAGTAAATGTCTGCTCAACAAATAGGTCACTGCAGACGGTCTACTAGTTAACCTTTCTTTGTGAAGATACGCTCTCCACTCACTTCTCTTTCTGGCACCTGGGATTGATTTGTTTTGTTTTTTCTTTCTTTTTATTTTCTTCCTCCCCCCCGCCCCCAGTACTAGAAATTGAAACTATTATCCCTGGACCTGGCCCCTGGGATTGAATCTGGGGACTTCCCATTGAGTTACATCACCAGCCCTTGTTTCTAGTTTTTATTTTGAAACAGGGTTTTAGTAAATTGTTAAACTGCCCAGGTTGACCTTGATTTTATGAGCCTCTTGCCTCAGCTTCTTAAGAGTGTTAGGGTTCCAGGCACATGCTACTGTCCCTGGCTAAGTCCAAATTTTAAACTAGCAGAAGGGGGTATGACCAAACAAAGGAAAACCAAGGCCTGATCTTTTCAAAAGTTTAATACCGTGCCAGGCATGGTGGTGTATACCACTTAATCCCAGCACACTGGGAGGTCAAAGTAGGAATACAAAAGTGTGATCCCACCTTGGAGAATTTAATGACTTAGCAAAGCCCCTTCTAAAAAATTTTTAAACGTCAGCTGGGCAGGTTTTCTCTGGGCCTCAGACAATACCTAGAGTGAACATTTTAGAGCTTTCAATGATACAAACAGCCCATTGAGGCACCTGTGCCATACTGGCCTAGAGAAGTAGCTCAGTCCTCTGGATTGCATCACAGCTAGGATTGTCACCCGGTAGGTCCTAGAGAAGGGGTCAGTTTGAAATCGAAACAGCCAGACATGGTAGCACACACATCTGTAATCTTAGCACTCATGAGGCTGAGGCAGGAGGATCACCTTAAGAGTTCCAGGACAGCCTGGACTACATAGTGAGATCTTGCTTGAAAAAAAAAAGATTAAATGATATGGTAAAGTAGGGGGTGGGGGGAAGCACCCATTTTCACTGTCCTCATGACAAGTGCAACCAAGAAATTCCAAGCAAACTGCGAAGACCCCACCTCTACCCTGGGCAGACTTTAGCTCCTTTTGGCAGAGGTGAACTTCAAAATGATTTGTGGTTATTGTGAACTAAATATTTCCCAAAAATTCTTATGTCAGACTTCTCAGTACTTCAAAGTGTGACTACTAAAAGACAGGGCCTTGAGAGTAGGAATTATGTTCAAATGTGACCCCTGGTATCCCTGTAAGAAGAGAATATTAGAACACAAAGACACTCAGAATGTGTGTATTAGCAGAACACTGTCCCAAAATAAAAAAATAAAAATAAAAGAGCGAGGGATGCAGCTCAGTGAAGGTTCTGGGGTACAATCTAGGACTCATCTTTGAGGTAAACCTTAATTAACAGACTGTCGGCTATGACCTCAGTTGTTAATAATGCTCTATTCCAGTGGTGGTAAACCTATGGCATGCATGAAGCAATGGGCTGTTTGTATCATTGAAAGTTCTAAACAGAGGGCTGGGCATGGTGGTATACATCTGTAATCCCAGCACTTGGGAGGCTGAGGCAGGAGGATCGCTTGAGTGAGGTTAGCCTGGGCTACGTGGTAAATTCAAGCCCATCCTGAACTACATAACAAGATCCTTTCTCAAAAGACCAAAAAAAAAGTTTAAAAAAAGAATGCTCTAAAAGGTCACTGCACTAGGCTCTTTAGCAAACATTTACTGAATGCCATCTTGTACCAGGCGTTGTGCTAGGGGTTGAGGACTCCAAATAGTAAACAACTGATGTTCTCTGCTCCCAGAAGTTCCTGGTCTGGTAGGTGAGAGGTACCCGTGCACACAAAGCGTCACTACAGTGCGTTGAGAGATCTGACAGCGGAGGGTTGGTGGCAGGCACTCCCTACCCTTTCTCTTTACACATTACTAGTACACCAGGAAAGCCATGAGTAAAATAACCAGAGCAGCTAAATTTTTGAACACTATGTTCAAGATATTCTTTTGAGCCCTGTCATGGTTTATTAAATCCTCGCAACACAGGGGCTGGGGATTTAGCTCAACGGCATAAGCGCCTGCCTTTCAGTGAGTTCAATCCCCGGTACCAATAAAATAAATAAATAAAGAAATAAATCCTCGCAACAGTACTCTGAGATAGATGCTGTTTATTGCTCCCATCTTAACACAGGAATCAATTGGGGCACAGAAATTAAGTGATTTGCTCAAGGTCACAGAACCAGTGGGTGACAGAAATAAGATTGTAACCTGGGTAACCTGATTCCAGTGCATGATACTGCACCAACCACCACAGCTTTGTGGACAATGCACATTGCCGCCCCAAAGTCAAGGTGGATCAATTTGAACTGGCACAGAAACAGTCCTGAAACATAAAAACAAATGTAAAATATGATCCTGTTTTTATAAATAAAATAACTCAAGTATATACATTTTTAAAACTCTTAAGGCTGAAGCAGGAAGATCGAGTTCAAGGCCAGCCTGAACTGCATAGCAAAACTGCCTCAAAAAGACCGAAAACAAACACCCACACTACATATTATGAGATGAGAACACAAATAGCTTTTCTTTTTACTTTTCTTTTCTTTTTTTTTTTTTTTTTTTTTTTGTCTTTTTCATTTTTATTGGTACCAGGGATCGAACTCACGACTGCCTGCTTGCAAGGCAGGTACTTATGCCGCTGAGCTAAATCCCCAGCCCCTTCTTTTTTATTTTCTATATTTCTGTAACAACCAAATATTATAACTTAAAAGAAACTATTATAAGTTTGATAAAAACAGATTGGATCACAGGAAAGAACAGAATCCTAAGTGAGAAACAGTCCTGGGGGGCGGTGGTAAAGCCCATGCCCAGCATGTAAGAGGACCACGGGTTCAATATCAGTATGGCAAAAAGTAAAAACAAAAACAAAAATGGTATTTTGTGGCAGGTGTGACAGCTCGTACCTGTAATTCCAGTACTCTGGAAAGCTGAGGCAGGAGGGTTCCAAGTTTAAACTCAGTCTGGGCAACTCAGCAACTTCGCTAGACCCTATCTCAAAGTAAAAAATAGAAAAAAGGAAGCCAGTCGTGGTGGCACACACTTATCATCCCCACACTGAGGAGGCAAAGACAGGAAGAGCACCAGACGTAAAAGAACAGCTAGGTCTACATAATGAGTTCAAGGCCAGTCTGAAACATATGTGAAATCCTGTCTCAAAAACAAACAAACAAACAAACAAAAAGGTATCACAAAGGATGAGGTGGCTACTGTATAAGCATGTAACTCAGTGGACCGATGGTAGAACTCCTGGAAATCATTAATCATTATGTGCCTTGTACTTTCCAAATGGTCATGCCTATCTATTTACCTTCTCCCACACAGTTTTCTTACTTTGTGACTAATCTATGATTCCTCCCCTTGAATCTCAGGAGAGTCTAATGACTGCCAAAAGGGTAGCATACTGCTCCTGCACACTTTGGTCAGTGCCTTTTATGGATTTTCTCATTAAATTATCACAAAAATCCTGAGACAAATCCTGTTGTTATCATCGCCCCTTCCTTTCTGTGGTGCAGGGGACTGAACCCAAAGCCTGTGCACTGAGCTACATCCTCACCTCACCCTGTCCCCTTTAATACAGAATCTCCTGAACTGTTCAGTTGCCCAGGCTGAGCTTGAACTTGGGACCCTCCTGCCTCAGCCCCTCAGAGTGCTGGGATTACGCGTGTGCCACACCACACCTGGCTACCATCCCAATTTGTAAGAAGAAAACTGAGATTTGTAACAGTTGCCTCAAATCACACAGCTACAAATAGTAAGGTCTTAACCCATATCTGCCCAATTCCAATCCTCTAAAATTACTATGTCATCTCCTCCACTGGGCAAGCCAGGAAATCCTATCTTTTTTTCAAGGTGCTGTTCAAATGTCCCCTGATTACTGTGATTTTCCTCAGTCAAAATTAATCTCTCAAAAGCAGGTGTGGTTTTGAGCCTGCAATCTCAACATTTGAAAGGCTGAGACAAAATGATCACCATGAATTTGTACCAATTGTGTGTGTGTGTGTGTGCGCGCCAGGGATAGAACTCAAGACCTCTTGGTTGCCAGATAGGCGCTTATGCCATTGAGCTAAATCCCTTCACCATGAATTTGAAGCCATTCTGAGTTACATAGTAAGTATGAAGGCAGCCTGGACTACATAGCAGAGACCCTGTCTCCGAAAAAAAACCAAAACATCAGGGTGAGTGTAGTGGTATACACCTATAATCCCAGCACTTGGGAGGCTGAGACAAGAGGATCACTGAGTTCAAAGCCAGCCTGGCCTCCATAGTTTGTTCAAGGTCAACCTGACCTACACATCAACAGCCTTCCTCTCTCTCCCCTCCCCCAAAAAACCTCTCAGTAGTCACAGGGTCATCCCAGGTACTAGCATATGGAGGCAGGAGGATTCCAAATTCTCATCCAGCCTGGGTAACTTATTGAGACATTGTCTCAAAATAGAAATTTTTAAAATTGTAAAGGACTAAGGATGTAGCTCAGTGGTACAGTACCCCTAAATTCAATCCCCATTTACAAAAAGAAAAAGAAAAAAAAAAAAAAAAACACTTTCAGGAATATAGCCTAAGAAAATATCAAAGATAAATTTAAAGATTAATGTTATTTAGTAAAGCAAGGGGAAAAACCCTAAAGGGAATGATTCATAAATTATGATACAGACATGGAGTAGAATACTATAGAATGACTCTTGTTTAAAGGCGCTTTTTTGGGGGGTAGGGAGCAAGGTTTTGCTATATAGTTCACACTGGTCTAGAACTCATGATCTTCCTATCACCTAAATGCTGACATCAGAAGTGTTCACTATAATGTCTAGCTACTTAATACATATTTTACCATACATACATACATACATATCACTTTAGGTTTTCATTTTGTTTTGTTTTGTTTTGTTTTGAGGCAGCATCTCACTATAGTTCAGGCTGGCCTTAAACTATGTAGCCCAGACTGGCCTTGAGTTTATGACAATCCTCCTGCTACAGCCCCACGTGCTAGGATTAGAGGCATTCACCACTGCACTGGCTACACACATGTATAACTAATTTTTTTAAAAAATTTTTCTTCAAGGGGCTGGGGATTTAGCTCAGCAACGTAAGTGCCTGCCTTGCAAGCAGGCAGTCGTGAGTTCGATCCCTGGTACCGGTAAAACAAAAAAGACCAAAAAAAATTTTTTTTCTTAAAGTTACTATGTACCCTGTTAATTAGTGGGAGGTAGTTAAGACAGGGTCTTGCTATGTAGCCCAGGCTGGTCTTGAGCTCATCTTGAGCTATGTAGCCCAGGCTGGCTTCAAACTCCTGGCAATCCTCCTGCCTCAGCCTCGCCAGTACTAGGATCTCGGGCTTGCGCCACACCTGGCTTCTGTATCTCCCTATGCTACCAAAACATGTTGTGCTTGGATGACAGCGCTGACACTCTGTTTTGCATTTCTGCTTGGTCACTGAGGCTGTAGTTCCTTGCAAATGGAGAAAGATCCCGAGTGTGTACCTAGAGGACTGTCATGAGCCACAAGCAGCCCTCATCCAGATGCATAAAAGACTGCACCAAACCCTGTGTATTCTACACAAAGGGCCTCACCCACAAGAGAAGAGCTATTTCCTCTGACTGCTTTATTAGGAAATCCTTTGTCTTCTCTATATATGCTGTTGACTATTAGAGCTTTCCTTGTTGCATTAGTTTGAATTTTTAAAAGGAAGGAAAAAGAGGAAAGCTAGACAGCATCTCTGGTTTCTTCAAAGAACGTATCCAAACTTCCCTCTGGGCACCTGAGGACCCTCCAGCTGTTAGAGAGAGCGAGTGCAACCTAACACCACAGCTGTGTACGCTCATAGTTATGACACAGCGGGAGATCACTCACCACCCCCCCCCCAAATTAGCACAATACCCACAATCCAGTCAACACCAAAATCTGTTAGATTAACAAATGAATTTGACATTGCAACTCTATTAGAATCCGGACCTCCAGTGAGGCTTCCATCCCCTCCCTGTTTGCCCTTCCTTCCTCAGCAAAGCCTGAACCAGTTCCTGGAAGTCTGGCCTTTCAATCAAAGGCCCGGAGTGACACCAGGCAGGCAGGATCCAAGAATGACAGCCTCCTTCCAGAGGCTGGAGCAGAATTGAGACAAAGTGGGGGAGGGCAAGAGGAATGCACCTGGGGCCCTATACAGGCAGGTCTGTGTCCCAATAGCCACCCTTGGCTGCCCATACGGTGGTGTCACGGAACTGGCTCAGACCTGGGAGGGACAATGGCAGAAAGTGCCGATCTCCAGGGAAGACAGGAGTGCTTTCCTCTCCGTGGTCCCATCTTCACACCCTCCAGTTCCTCCTGCCCAGCCCACCAACACCTCCATCAGCTGCTCACAGCCAGCAAAGGGCTCCCAGGCCTGCCTAGGACCCAGGGACCGGGGAGTCTGGCTTCCTGGCCGACAGCCGCTTCCTCCTGTCCCCTCCCCCATTGTGACACAATGACACCAGTTGGACTTTAGACAGAAACCCTGCTTATCAGGGAGTCCCAGGCACATGAATGCTGAGTTTTCAATGCCTGGAAAACCCCAACAGGCCTTCAAGCATTGCTTCCAACCAACATAGAGGTCTCTATCTCATACATTTGCTGTGGTCTTTCCTGAGTCTCTGAAACGAAGTAGGTTCACGTTTAGTTGTCCCCAGTGTCTCCCTTCCAAGCTAACTAATGTGGAAAACAAGCCCCTGGACTCTGAGTCTAGCACATAAAATGTGTGCAGCATTTCAGTCCATCTTTGGGTTAGGGTCAGCTATTTCTAAGTCCACCGTACCAAAGCCCCTTGACTATGCGTGGGGGCAGCATCGGGCCAACAACCAAGGCCACAAACCCTCTAACATTCGCGTGAAAGACCTCCAGTGCATCAAGTAAAATAAACAATGCAATTAAGTATATACAGTACACCTTCTTTTGTTCAGAAAAGGGAGAAAAACAGAGCCAAGCAGGATGGTGCATGCTTATAATTCCAGCCTCAGAAACCGAGGCAGGAAGATTGCTGTCAGTTTGAGGCCAGCCTGGGATAAATAGTGAGTTCAGGACCAACCTGAACTACATAGGGAGATCCTGTCTCAAAACACCAAAACAAACAAAAACACAGCAGCTCCATCCCAAACCAGAATAAGGTGGGAGACCCCAGACATGCCCTAATCACAAGGAGCTGATGCAAAACTTTCCAAGGTGAGGGGCTGAGGATTTAGCTCAGTGGCATAAGCGCCTGCCTTGCAAGCAGGCAGTTGTGAGTTTGATCCCTGGTACCGATAAAAAGGAAAAAGGCAAAAAAAAAAAAAAAACTTTCCAAGGTGAAGAGATTCAGAGGTGAGAAGATGAACAGGCAGGAATCCCACAGTCACTCCTGTCTTACTTGCAACTGTTGTCACCAGTTTCGGGTTTTCAGGGAACAATTCTTTCACAGAGTAGAACGGGAAAAGTACGAGTGACTCAGCCATCTACACTTCTGAATTAAGTCTGTCCCTGAATATCCAGTCATTTCGAGTTTACAAGATCTCCATCAGGAGGAGGAGCAAAAGCAGGAAATACCAGGATGAAGACTGACCCAGACACAGGGCAGCAGTTCCCCCAACCGGGTGGCCCCTGTGGGCGCCCCACACTGCAGGAAGCAGAAGAGAAGACAAGTCAGTGTTCCAACCTACCTTCATCTTCCTCCCCGAGTTCCATTGTGAACTCGACCCAACCAGTGGCCACCAACATGGTGTTGAAAAGAATACCTCTAGTGCTGGAGAAACTGCTGAAAAGGACAGGCCCTCTCGGGACAGAAAGACCAGCTCTATCAGTCACCAGCTTTATTCTTCCCAAGCCCGGTGTCCCAAGGCCTCTGGGTCTCTGCCCCAGCAAGGTCAGGCCTTGCTCCACACCAAGTTCCCTAGGCTGGTGTTGGGCCTTTGCTTGGCTGGTGTCACCATCTTTCCCTTTCTCCTTCCTCCCTCCCTGACAGTGGAGCCCACTGAGGAGCAGCCCACGACAGAGGGAGGGACAAACAACCCATGCATGCGTCAAGCTCACAGGGAAGAGGACTGGCTAGATATCTAGAAAGAGACCCAGTTTTTCACTTTTCCTGTTTGGAATCTCCCTGTTTCCTTTGACCTACTCTACCAGGAACAGCATTCTTTCACCCTCCCGGAAGTCTGAAGAGCTAACAGCTGCCCAATAACAGTCCTTTTATGTGGTAAGGTAGCTCTCAAACCACCCCCCCCATCCCCATGGGGAGGGTAGGACAGAGACTACTACTCCTGTTTTCCACTGAAAAGACTGAGCTGGTAGCCTAAGGTCACAAGGCAGAGCCAGTCCAGTTAGAACCCACCTTAGGGTAGCTGCTCTCACAGCTGCAGTCCTCATAGGCATTAACCAACTTAGTCCCTTCCCCTGGACCCACCTTGATTTAAAATTTGCAAAAGTCCATTCCTCCACACCCCGTCCTATTTACAGCTGTTGTCACTTCCCAGCCCACCCGCACCCCCAGGTCCTTAAGGAGCTGATCCATCCTCACCTCAGGCTCCCTCTGAAACACTGTTACTTAGCCCCCTAAAGACACTCTCAGGCTCGAAACAGTGCTAACAATCCTCTTAGTGTCAGACCTGTTACTGTGCCAAGAATGTTGGAAATTAAGGGAGAGAAAAGAAGGAAGACAGGGGTGGAAGGAAGCAGCTCCAGGAAGTCTACAGGCTTCACAGGTACTGTCACTGGTATTTATACTGTCACTGGCACGAAACCTGTTAGTCACTGACCTCAGAGACACTTTTGAGTTTGGAAGAGGAAATAGTCACACAGTGCATGGGTCAAGGTCTATAGCACTGAGTATCAAAAGAGTGTACAAAACCCAAAAACAGAAAATGACTATGGGTGTCACTAGCATTTCTAAGGTACCAGCAGAAGTAAAATAGGTGGAGTAGAAAAAGAAAGGAAATGGAAGAAAAAGGGAAGTGGATGAGTAGGGGGAGAGGGAGAAGTGAGAAGGAAGAGATCAGTGAGGAAGAAATTTTCTAAGCCAAGATATTCTGAAGTAGTATCTCAAATGGTTCCTCTGCCATGGGGTCCTGAGATGCTGGGCCCATGAGTGGCAAAGAAAAGCAAATTGGGAGTCCATTCCACTCCCAGGTCCCTCTCTTGTCAGCCTGGAAAAGCTGTTTCCGTCTTAGACCTGTTTCCTCATCTGTTCAATACAGAGAATAATTTTTCCTGTCCCATCCACTTCAAGGGCTTAAACTTTTGTAGTAATGGACAAAGGAGTGGCTTATCCAACTAGTGCAGGGAATCTATGGATTTCTGTTCTTCAAAAATTCTTCTCAAGGCCGGGCACGGTGGCACATGTCTGCAAACCCAACACTTGAGAGGCTGAGGCAGGAGAGTCACCACGAGGTCAGCCTGGGCCATACAGTGAGTTCAAGACCGGCCTGGACTGCAGAGCAAGACCTTGTCTCAAAAAACCAAAAAGAAAAGAACAGAACTGTGTTCTTTGGAAGACATCCATACTGATTGTAATTGTTCGTGTCTTTTAATGCTCCCTAAAATATGAAACTTGTAGGAAATGGAGAATCATACAGACTGAGGTAACTACATACAACTCTGTGCAGATGGACACCCAGGAATCACAGACAGAACACAAAGCTGTGGGTTTGATCTCCAGACCACAACCTTTTTTAAAAATCAGACAGATAAACATACAGGCGCGGACACAAGTTGACTAACGCTTAAGCCAACCAACTACACAACCAGCCCCACGCAAACACATCTAGAGTCACAGGCAAGCCCAAGCAAGCGTGTCGCATTGTTTCTCAGGAAAGAGTTTACAGAGGAAACAACTCTCCCGTCCAGCCAGTGGGAAGGGCAGAGTTCTAGCTCAGAAGAGAATCCAGCCAACCAACAACCACATCCTCCCTTTGGAAGAGTCACTCAATCAACATTTATTAAGGACTCCTTGGTAGTCACTGTAGGAAGGAATTTTGAATGCTGAGCCCTAGGAAATTTCAGCCTTCAGTTTCATTTCCTCTCCAGCTCTTCACCGTGATTCTCTGCCCAGAGATTCAGGGGAGGTAGAGGCGCGTGCAAAAACAAGAAGGGTAAAACACACACACACATACACACAAAGAAACAGATGAGGAGACTTCATCCCACCCTCCCCTATTGCATTTCCTCCGAGGGCCCTGAAGGATCCCAGGGAGCCCGGGATGAGCGGCTCAGGGCTTCTCTCTACAGTCTGCAGACACAGGAGGGTCAGGATGGCCCTTCCCAGGCGCGGGAGGAAGACTGCCAGGTAGATGTGTGAAAGTGGGAAGGGTCCTGCGCCCGCAGTCCTGCCCCAGAGGTGAGGACGGGCACAGAGGGACCCGCCCTCCCAGCTATTCCGGGCCACCAGGCTTGAAGGGCAGCTCCCTCCCGCGGGGTGAGCGGGGAGGCATCGCAGTTCCAGGTGGGGGCAGGGAGCCAGTCCCGCTCCAGGGGCGGGGAAGGGGCAGAGGGGCACCGGCCTTGGAGGAGCGGCGGAGCGGCTGGCAGGTTTATCAGCTCCACCCTCCCGTGGGCGCGGCGTGAGGAGCGCCCGCTCCAACCTCGGACCGACACACCGATTCCTCCCCGAAACTCCACTCCAGCAACTTACACAGGTTCGCCGACGTAACGAGAAACACCAGTTTCCTCCCAGTTGCCACCTCTGTCCCCATCACGATTAGGATCCCCAGGAGACGACCTCGGCAGAATTCTAGGAACAGCTTCGGGAACTGCAGCCGCGCTGCGACTGAACTCCAACCCTAGGTTGAGCCCCGCCCGATTCGCCCTGCCCACCTACCCTGATTGGTCGGTACCCAGCCCTTGCACCTGATGATTGGTCAAGAGAGCTGCCGCTCAGCCGAGTGCCTCACCGTAGCCAGGTGCAACCCCGCCCATTACCACCTCTGCTACAGCCGCCTCTGATTGGCCCGGGAAACTGTCCCGTAAAGAAATGAATTCCTCACCTTCGGCAGGTAAGGGCTCCGTGATTGGTCGGTGGTCCAGGAAGTAGGGACTTTCTGACTGGCTGAGTTAAATTGAAGCTAGAGAACTAGTCTCACCTCCCCCAAGAGGTAGGGAAGCGTAGGTGGGTTCTGGGGTTCACAAAATGATCCTGTTTTGGGTAGTTTGTTCGCTTGGCGATACTGGAAGCTGAATCCAAGGGGTGTTTTGCACAGAGCTAGCTCTCCAATCTTTTTTTTTTTTTTTTTTTTCTTTTGGAGACAAAATCTCACTAAATCGCTGAATTACCCAGGCTGAGCGCGAATTTGCGATTCTCCAGCTTCAGCCTCCCAAGATGCTGGAATTACGGCTTGGGCCACGGAACCCGGCGGTTGGTTGGTTTCATAGTAAGTTTGAATGTAAATTGCCTGCTGCTGTGGAAACCTTAGATGATCTTTTGGCAAGTGAAAAATTCATATTAATATGAATATTAACATGAAAGAAGCGGAAAAATACGTCGGCACCACCTCCAAACTGTGTTCTACTTTTCCTCCCACTAGCAACCTTCGCTAGCATTAAGAGATAACTGAGAACGGGACGAGGAAAGAGAAAGGACAGCAGCATAAAAGAGCGCTGAATTCCAAGGCGGGAAAAGCAGTGCTACGGTACCGGAACAAGCGCGTTAAACAGACATACACAAAATACAGCCAGCTAGTAGAAATTGAGCTCCAGATCCCCCGCAAACATTCTGGTGACTGCGGATGTGTCTTTAGTTCTGTGAAGCTATCAGCAGGACTTTATCCTTGAGAATTATCCTCTGGGATTACGGTTCAGTGGTGACTACGTCTTCTTCTACAGACTGTTGATACCCAACTTTCTATTCGTGTTGTTACATAAAGCGTAATCAATATTTTGTTTGTTCGTTCGTTTGCTTCCAATACTAGAAAGCGAGCCCAGGTGCTCTGCCCCGAGTTACATCCCTGACCCTTTTTTTAAAATAGGGGTTCACTACCCAGTCTGGGCTCAAACTTGCGATTGTGCGAGCGCGGGTGTGCCAGGGAGGTGCCACCATACTGGGTCACATAACGTTTAATTGAAATTCATGCTCTGCGCCTTCACTTCTCTACAGTTCCTTAATTTCAACTGTTCTAAGTATATCCAAGTTGTTGTGGGAAAAAAACTATCATTGCAAGTTAAGAGCCCACCCTTTTATCAAAACCAAAAAAAAAATTTTTTTTTACCTTTTTTTTTAGCCACCTTTTATCTCTTTCCTGTCTGTCACATTTTGTTCCTTTTTCCACATCTCCTGAGCCAAAGTTTCCCCTTCTGGTTCCCCTCAATTTAAAGCAATGTTTGTCAAGCACATGTTTCCCAAGCTGCTGCTGGGAAATAATAAATAAATACAAACCACAGTCCCGGACTTAATGCTTTACAAGTTATTTCTAAGACTAATACAGGAAACCAGACAATATGTAACCCAAAGAGAAACTTGTTACTAAATTGTAACAAGTATTTGGGTGACTGCCAAGCGCAAAGCTCTGTTCTTTGCCCTCAAAAGAACTTTTCAAAATGTTCTTATTTTTATTAGTATGTGCTTGATTATAGTTATTCTGGGGTGTTGACCCATACGTATAATACACCATAATTCTTTTTGTATCCCCTTCCTCTCCTGCCTCCTATCAGAGAACTTAATCTTAGAGAGACTTATGTGTAAAGTAAAGTACAGGACTAAAAAGTGAGAGACAGGGGCTCAAAGAAATGTTCAGTCATTGTGGACCCTGATTGTCAGAGAAGACTTCAAGATGTGGGAACCTAAACAAGGGCTTGAAGTAGCTCTGACTTTAAATAGGAGCCCATTTAGGCCAATCTCTTACCCATTACAGAAAGTCTCATAAACAGCTGGTAATTTAGACATGTCCTTTATAAATTCCTAAAAATCCTCAGTGCAGACCATCTTACTTTAGGTACAACTTTTCTTTTCTTTCCCCTCCCCCCATCCTGGGGATTGAATACAGGGCCTTAATAGTAAGCTACATACCTAGCCCTTTTCTATTTTTCTTCTTTTTTATTTTGAGTCAGGGTCTTCCTAAGTTGTCCAGGCTAGGCTCAAACTCCAGATTCTCCCGCCTCAGCCGCCCAGAGTACAAGGGTTGCAAGTGTGTATCACTATGCTCAGCTTCTCACTTTTAATTAAACCATTTAAGAGGATATTAGAAAATGGAGAGGTATCCTGTACTCTTGGGTAGGAAGAACCAATATAGTGAAAATGATCATATTCCAAAACTGTTATACAGATTCAATGCAGTCCAATCAAAATTTCAATAGCATATCTCACAGAATTAGAGAAAACAATCTTAAAATTCATCTAGAACCAGGAGAGACCTAGAATAACAAAGGCAATTCTGGGCAACAAAGACAAGATGGAGTATCACAATCTCTGACTTGAAATTATACTATAAAGCTACTGTGAAAAAACAGCATGATATTGGCAAAAAAACAAAACAAACAAAAAAACCAGACCCAAAGATCAATGGAACAGGTTAGAAGATGCAGAAACAACTCCAGAGACACTAAGCCATCTTATCTTTGACACAGGTGCCAAACACAATTCACTGGGAGAAACATAATCTCTATAATATATGGTGCTGGAAAAAACTGGCTCTGCACATACCAAAGATTAAAATTGGACCTGTATCACTCACCATGCACTAAACCAAATTCTAAATGGATCAAAGATCTAAATATTAAAAGAGAAACATTAAATCTACTGGAAGATAGAGTAGGTAAAGCTCTTGAAGACATTGGTGTAGGCAAAGGCTTTATGAACAAAATCCCAATTGCAAAAGAACTATCACAAAAAATCAACTGGGATCTCATCTTATGCTTTTTAATTTTTTTTATCAGTACCAGGGATCGAACTCACGACTGTGAGCTTGTAAGGCAGGCGCTTATGCTGCTGAGCTAAATCCCCAGCCCCAGGGGCCTCATCTTATTGAAAAGCTTTTGCACAGCAAGAGAAACCACCAACACAGTAAAGAGACAATGTGAGAGAAAATGTTTGCCATCTGTTCCTCAGGCAAAGTATTACTATCAGGGACATGTAAAGAACTCAAGAAAAGCAGTCTTCCCAGCCAGGTGTGATGGCTCATGCCTGTAATCCCAGCACTTGGGAGGCTGAAGCAGGAGAATCATTGTGAGTTTGAGACTGCCTCGGATACAAAGTGAGCTCAAAGCCAGCCTGAACTGCATAGAGAGACTGTCTCAAAAAGACCAAAAAAAAAAAAAAAAAAAGCAGTCTTCCCAGATTTAAAGACCTAATCCAAAAATGGGCATCTGAGATGAATATACATTTTTCAATGAAGAAATACAAACAACAAATAAATACAAGGAAAAAAAGTGTTCAACATCATTGGTCATTTGAGAGCTACAAATTAAAGCAACACTGAGATTCCATCTTACACTGGAAAGAATAACTATTATCAAGAAATCCAACAATAATTAATGCTGTAGGGGCTGTGGAGAAAAAGAAATGCTTTTTTACCATTGGTGGGAGTGTAGACTGGTACAACCACTGTGGAAATCAGTGTGGAAATTTCTCAAACCTAGGACTAGAGTTCCCATTCCATCCAGCTGTTCCCCTTGTGGATATCTTCCCAGGAGAATTTAAAAAAAAAATCACACCGCTGGGGATTTAGCTCAGTGGCATACATGCCTGCCTGGCAAGTTTGAGGTCGTGAGTTCCGCAAAAAATAAATAAATAAATAAAATTTTAAAAGATCACACCACAGTAACATATGTGTGCCCATGTTTATAGCAGCATAATTTGTAATAACTAGACTTTGGAAACAAACTAAATGCACATCAATTGAGGATTGGATAAAAACGATGTGCTCTTTTTATATAATAGAGTACAACTCAGCCATAGAGACGGATAAACTAGAGACTTTTATAAGTAAATGGATGCAACTTGAGACCATACTCGTAAGTGAAATAAATCAGACATGCATGTATAAACATCACATTGTCTAACTAGCATGAGAAGCTGAAAGAAACAATATATGTGTTCAGATAAATAGATAGTTAAGATAGTTATGCTACTGATTTCTCTGAGTTCATTGAAGCAAAAGGTTTGCACTGGCATTGTTCAGACAATTGAATATAGATGTCTTATGCTCTGGGTGACTGATTTAGAGATGGCAATGCACTTATGTATGTACCGTTGTTGCCCCCTGATTGTCGTGTTTTGAAATTTTGTTCTATTTTTTCTCTTTGAAGTAAAATGGATTTTAAAAAATAATTATTCAAACAAATTGAAATCTCCTACCTGGTAACTTCCAGCCAGTTGCTCCCTAAAGTATTTGGTGCCCTGACAGCACTTCTTTCAAATATTTGAAAGTACATATGATAAGCCCTGTGGTGAGCTGACAACCGGTTGTCATCTTGTAACACCCAGATGAACTGAATCAGTAAGATGCTGGGTGTGGAGGGCCCTCCTGAGGATTGTTGCCAATAACATGAAAAGGAGAACAGGAGAGGAAGAAGCAGGTTTTGTTGGGTCTTCTGGAGGAGCTTGTCCAGCTTCTTTCCTGATGTGAACTTGGCTGTTCCCATCATCAGAAGCTTGGGACCTTGTCACCGAGAATGGCTGCAGCTCACTTTGGGGGAGCTCTGACCTTTACTTACCACTTTCATGCTCTGGAGGAGAAGAAGTGTGCTGTTCAGTCTTTAGGAGAAGTTTGTCACACTGGCTTCCTGATATGAACTCGGCTGGTCTCATCATCAGAGGAGCTCAGAATCTCATTGTTGCTGAGGATGGCCATGGTACTTTTTGGGGGAGCCTTGGTCCTTACTTTGAGCATCACTTCCGGGCTCCACTGCAAGATCCCTCTGCCTGGTGACTCAGATCCTTCATCCTACTGGCACAGACTTTTTAGCTTCCACCACTGACCTTTGGGCCTCCCCAGCACAGATCCATGAAACAGACTTGCATGAGATATTATCATGGCTTCTAGGTCTCTAGCTGGACTTGTACAGGACATTGTCATAGGATTCAGGCCCTCAGCTGGATTTTTTAGGTCTTTAGTGTGTGGACAGATTTCCTACACTTTTTTTGCATTTGACTCTTTGGGTGACTATTATAAAACAATCCTGTAAATTATGTGTCTTGTATTAAATTGTCTTCCTTGCAAACCTTGACTATAACAGGTACCCAAGATTTTTCCTTATCTAAGCTAAACATTGTGATTTCCTTCAGATTGCCTCAGTGCAACACAATTTCAGGAGCTCTCTCTTCCAAATAAATCTGCCTCCTCTGGAAAACTCTTCATTGCTCCCAACCATGGAGCAGGCCCTGGGGAAGCCATCTCTCTGTGTGATCAACAAAGGTCTCTTGATTTCTAGCTTCTTGATTTTGGCAGCTCACATCTCTCTGACACTTTCTGCATCCAGTATCACGTAGATCACTGGGCTTATACAAAATAGGAATTAAACTCTATAGTACATGCATGCAATGTGCTCAGCTCTGGACCTAACTTTTTTATCAGTACCAGGGATCAAACTCACGACTGCCTGCTTACAAGGCAGGTGCTTATGCTGCTGAGCTAAATCCCCAGCCCCAAGGGCCTAACACATTTTAAGAACTGAAATGTTAGTTGTTTTAACTGCTCTTTTTGTGGGGGAAGGGATGCTACTGTGAACTCGGGGCCTTTGCACTGAGCTACATTCCCGGCATCACCACCCCTTTGTTTTTATTTTTGATCTTTAGGTAGGGTCTCCCTAAGTCACTAAAATGGCCAGGTTGGGTTTGAATTTGCAATCCTCATGCCTCAGTCTCCCAACATATTTGAATTACAGATATGAACCACTATGTCCTACTTTTTTATTTTTTTATTAAGAATTGCAAAAGTTTATTTCTTTAAAAATTGCCTTTACCACAAATTTAAAATCTGGAGGATCCCTACTGCCATCTAAAGACTTCATAATTATGGATAAAATAGCAAGATTTTCATTTAAAGTGTCATATTGAAAATGGTCAAAGATGATCCCCATAGGCATTTGTCTAACATCTAAGAAGCAGTGAAATTGTTTAGCAGCCAGAGTTGCAAGGTCATTTCATGGTCCAGAATTTAGTGTTTAATCCCTCCACACAGTAGAAAGTAGTAAAATTTCTATGGCCCTGTGAGGGACAATTGCCCCAAGATGATTCTCCTAGATGGACTCCTGGGTATTCAAATTCACCTGGGCAGTGACCAAACCATATCTGTCCTACTTCCCTTTTGGGTTTATGGCTAGGTTCTTTCTTCTTCCTCCTCTTCTTCTTTTCCTTCTTCCTCCTCCTCCTCCTCCTTCTTCTTCTTCTTTTTGCTCCTCTTCCTCTTCTTCCTCTTGCTCCTCCTCCTCCTTTTCAGTAGGA